CCGCCTCCCCGCCCGCCCTTCCCCACCGCGCGCGCTCCGCCCGCCCCGGAGCCTCGCCCTCCGCCACGATGAGCAAATGAGCGCAAGCGAGGGCATGAAATTTAAATTCCACTCTGGGGAGAAAGTGCTGTGCTTCGAGCCTGACCCCACCAAGGCGCGAGTGCTGTACGATGCCAAGGTGCCGCCGCGGAGGGCCAGGGAGGAGGAGCGGGTCGGGGACCCTGGCGATGGGAGGCAGGGGCAGGGGCGGGGGCGGTCAGCGGCGCGGAGCCGGGGGAGCGGCGGGTCTCCCCGGCCTGCGCGGAGAGGCGTGGGCAGCAGGGGGCGCTCGTGGGGTGCCGCGCGCTGTAGTCCGGGCGGGGGGCCCAAGATGCTTCCGCTTCCGCTTCCTGCAGCGCTGTACCCCGCTCGCACGGTCGCGAGGCCCGGGTGGCAGTTTGAGCCTACGGTGCCCACTTGGGCCGCATGTATAGATGTGCTGTCGCCTAGTCTCTGCTCTTGCGATAAGTTTCTTCTCATCCTTTGCGGTCCAGCACCGCCTGGGCTCCTTGGGGCCACCCTAGCCGCCTGACCCAGGTCTTATTCCTTAGGTCCAAAGCGCTGGCTGCCAACTCTTAACCTCGTTGCCCTGGGACCTCTAGTCGGGTTTAGGGTCTATCCCTCCCATAGGCCGTGACCCCATTCTGAGGGCATGATTGATCCCAGTGTCTTGGACCCTCAGGCCCCTACAGCATTGACATTCTCAATCCCTGAGGGATTTGCGTGGGTGTCAACATGTACGGGCAGAATTGAGTCTTGAACCCATCCCCCTAAATCTTTGGGGTGCTGGCCACATCTTTTAGTTTCTCTGGTCTGGGCGGTGGGCTGGAGTAGGCACTGAAGTCCTGTATCCCTAACGAAAGTGTATTTTGGCGCTTTGGGGGCTAGGGCTGTCCCAGATCCTTTGAGCCACGAAAACGAAACCTTTGGTGCAGAGACAGGGGAGGCCCGGGTGCAGCCTGAGGTGCAGCCTGGGGTGCGACTTTTACAAGGCTTAGGCGGTGCCCTCAGTGAGGACATTTCAAGGTCTTTATCTGTTTGGGGTTTCTAAGTCCCTTTACTAAGCCTCCTCCCACCCCGCCCAAGAGTCTCAAAGGGGGACACGCCCCCTTGATGCCCCAGGTGTTCCTTCCTGGGATGTAACTGGGAGGGGTGTCGAAGTCCATCAGGGAATTGGATGCAGCAGAGCCGGGGAGACTACAACTCCCAGAGGTCTCAGGGCTGCAATTCTCTTCTGTGGTCTGGACTCTCATTAGTGACAAATCAGCCGGCCAATGGCTTCAGAAACTTCACCCTGTCTCAAACTCGGAGACCAATCACAGAGTGCTTGGACGGATGTTTCCTATTTTGAGGCATCCACTCTGGAAAAAAAATGGTATTGAAAGGAAAAATGTTTCAACCCAGCTCTCGGTCTAAAAAAGGAGAGAATGCTTTCTTTTCTCTTAAAACGGGACTATGATCTAGTTTTCCTGATCTAACTGATAATTCTCTGTGTGTTTTGCCGTTCGTGGGCAATATTTCCTGGTTTCAGATTGTCGATGTTATTGTTGGGAAAGACGAAAAAGGCAGAAAGATCCCAGAATATCTGATTCATTTTAATGGTTGGAACAGAAGGTGAGTGCTTGTTAAACCAGACTGAATATCGATTGTTTATATAGCATAAGAACATCGCAAACTTCTTTAAGTTTTAGAAACACTTGTAGAAAAGTTTCATTTCCTGTTTCTGCTTTGTTCTCAAAGCTTGCCTGTTCTGAGGAATGATTACTTTTAAGTTCAATACATTTTAATTCTCTCTGAGTGATTCTGGAAACCCCAGTTATTTCTGGATTTGAATGTTACTTTTTTCAGTTAATTTGCATTCTTTTCTGATTTTCAAGTTTCTATATAGTTTTCTAAAATGTCAATAATTCTGGGGCACTTCTGTTCCTTTATGGGGGGGGGGGTTAGTGTTTCTTTTATATCAAAATAAAATACTGAATTTTCTAACCTCTTTTTTTTCTGTTGTTCAATTAGCTGGGATAGATGGGCAGCCGAAGATCATGTGCTTCGTGATACAGATGAAAATCGTAGATTACAGCGTAAATTGGCAAGAAAAGCTGTAGCTCGCCTGTAAGAATACAAAAATCGTGACATAAATGTTTTTTAATGCATATTTCCTTAAGTTTTGAATTTTATGGTTTAAAAGTAATAAAAATGTTTATTAAGTAATTTTACATATTTTAATTATAAATGTTTCTGAAATGATCACCATTTATATTCTAAAGTTCAGTTTTTGAGATATTTAAGAATAATCAATGTTAAAATTTATTTCAATTATGTTCACTTTTTTTTTTTTCAGGAGAAGCACAGGAAGAAAGAAGAAGCGCTGTAGGTTGCCTGGTGTTGATTCTGTCTTAAAAAGTCTCCCTGTTGAAGAAAAAGATGAAAATGGTGAAAATTGTGAGTGACTTGATTCCATTTTTTTTTTTTTTTTTTTTTTTTTGGTAAAAAGAACTTTTACCTAGTCTTTTTTATACTTCAGGACTAACTGAGGGGAAGATTCACTGAAATTATAGACAGGAAAATTTTGGAAACTCATTATTTTTAGGTTTCTCCAACTTAGAATTTTTTGATTTTATGATGGTATGAAAGCACACCCATGTAAATATTCTGCTTTTCAATTTCAGAACCATGTTTTAAAAATTACATGATATACTTAATGCATTTATTAAAATAAGCTTTGTGTTAAATTAGTTTGCCCAATTTAAGCTAAGGTAACTATTCAGAGCGCATTTAAAGTAGTCTGCTGTGATATTTGGTAGTTTTGGTGTATTCAATGCATTTGTAATTTAGGACGTTTTCAACTTTTGATGGACATAACCCCATCATAAGTTGAGGAGCGTCTCTATGATATGTACCTCTTTTTTTTGTTGACAATGAAAGTGGCATCAACGTGATAAGTCAGCAAACCACTGAGACTTATCAGAGTCATACTCTTGACCACTGCCTTTTTGACCAGTGAACCCCACACAGCTCCATTCCCATGGTTCATTCTCTTCTCAGTACCTCCAGCATTTATGAATCCAACAAAGAACCATTGAATCCTAGCTGACAAAGCACTTTCAAGTCATTAGCTTGTGTGATTTTTGCACCTGTTGAAGTTGATGTTATATTTATCAAAATAAATTTCTCTTCAGAAAGACACAGTATTTGTGTTCAGTATTTAAAATATATGCAGGACTGCAAATCATCATTCTTGGTAGGATGCACACTATACCTATAGATTTGTAAGCTTAACAGTAGGAAAAATGTATAATAAAAGTTTGTCTGATGTTTTTTTTTCACTTAGCCATAAGCAGTTCCTCTGATGACAGTGGTGAAGAAAAGGATGAAGAAATAAGTGAAGGAAGTGATAGTGAAGAAAAGACTGAAGTGGTAAAAAAGTTCTTGTCAAAAAACTTTGGCTTTAGTATATATTTTAGTGGTAAAATTTCATAGTAAAATTCTGTACTTATGAATGATTTTTTAAAGATATTTTAAACCAAAATAATAAAATTTGCTTGACATTTTAAGAAAAGTGATCCTTATTTACAGTCACTATGTGAGCCTCTCAGTGACTCTTTATACCTATGGAGTGTTTCTATAAATTATCTCTTTTTCCCCAATAAAATTGTGAGCTGCATTTTGTAATGATGAATTTTTTAATGGAGCACAACAGAGTTTGGGCTCTTCTGCCTGCTTGCAAAGTTACCATAACCCCAGTGGTAAACTTAAAGGAAGAAGAAACAAAATAAGCATTTGCAACATAGTTAACATCCTAGAACAAGTTAACTTGTGGCCTTTAGCATACTTAGAACTGGGACAAAATGTGAATGTTGAGGATACACTGGTACTTTTTTATAGCAATCTCTCATCTACTATCCTATTTTTGGTACGTACTCTGCTCCTATTTTAATTAATTAAAAATGGAATTGTGATGTTTCAGAAAGAAGAACTAGAGCTGCAAACAAAAAAAGAAATGGAAGAAAGGACAATAACTATAGACATCCCCGAAGTTCTGAAGAAGCAGCTTGAAGATGATTGTTACTATATTAACAGGAGGAAACGGGTAAGTGGGGAGGATATGTAAAATACAGAGTTATTAGTGTGCTTTCATTTAACTGTATTTTGCAATCACAGTCTCCAACAATTGAGAAGCTTGGAGGAATGAACTTTTACATTTTTGGTTTTATACTGAGTTAGGTTTTAAAGGTTGTGTACTCTTAGAGGCTCCCAGAATTGTTCTAATTTGACACTAAGATTGAGAATCACTGCTTACATCTACTCCAAAAAGCAACAGTGTAATCAACATGAGGACATGATAAAAAAAAGATCACAGAACTTCAGTATATATTTATTTAAAAAGTTTTATCTAAGCAGAATTGACTGCACTTGATTGATTGATTGATTCATTGATTGTGGTGCTGGGGATTGAACCCATAGCCTTCTGCATGTGAGGGAAGCACTCTACCAGCCAAGCTATAGCTCCAGCCCAACTTTCCTTTATTTTTGAGTTAAAAAGTGAAAGAGGTACAACCACCCTTTCTTGGAATATATTGTTTATTATTATCATATTCATACATCAGATGTTTTTAATTTTGTTAACAGTTAGTGAAACTTCCATGCCAGACCAACATCATAACTATTTTGGAATCCTATGTGAAGCATTTTGCTATTAATGCAGCCTTTTCTGCCAATGAGAGGCCTCGTCACCATCATGCTATGGTACACGCCAATATGAATGTGCATTATGTCCCAGCAGAAAAAAAGTGAGTACTGGCATGTTTGGCATCTCATGATTCTCATTGTGTGTTAGAAAAGCTGTTCCCATCTAGACCAGGGAATTCCTTTCTCTGTTCAGTAATTTTGAATGTATTTAATATATAATTTAATGATTTAATACTAACTCTTTGAATAACCATAGCCAAATATTGTTACTTTTGTGAATTCTTTTAGAACTCTCTTTGCACATCTGGCCTAGATACATTAAGAGTGCACCACCTTGTCACTAAGACTGGTATTTTAAGTGGTATCATGCAGGCAATAACTCAACTTTTTTTCCTTGAGAAACACCAGAATGGGCAATGTGAGTTTGATCAAAGCTTGTTTCTAAACAGGTCTTTATTCTAGTCAAAGTAGCCATCCTCATATCCCACCCTGCCCACCCAACATGACTGGAGCAGAGTCGGAGAGGTAGAGTGTCAGAGTTGAAGCAGGGGTTAGGAGTCTGGTGGGTTCTGTCCAGTTGACAACTCTTAGTAGCACAGGATTCTGGATCTCCACAAGTAACATTGGACTTATTTGTGTTAAATAGGTATGTTGAAGTTGCTGACATACTTTCTGTACTTTATAGTATGAATCTATGTCCCTATTTTAACATTAATTATTAACATCCATAGATTCATTTCCTTCTTTATAGGTATAGATGTAATATATAATGTTTAAGTTTAAACCTCTTCTATATTAAGAGTGTACAACTTTGTTGTGAAAATTTGGATTGTATCTGTTTCATTATCACATCTCTTATCTTTTCTTTTTCTCCTCCCAGTGTGGACCTTTGTAAGGAGATGGTGGATGGATTAAGAATAACCTTTGATTATACTCTCCCACTGGTTTTGCTCTACCCATATGAACAAGCTCAGTATAAAAAGGTGACTTCGTCTAAATTTTTTCTTCCAATTAAGGAAAGTGCCACAAACACTAATAGGTAAGTTAGATAACTTGCACTTTCACCCTCAGATGTCAGCATTAACATATTAAAATCCTTTTTGGAAGAGTCCAGTCTGATGCTGTGAGGGCCAGTGTGTTTGGAGGAAGGGAACAATTGAAAAGTTCCCATACTGGTAATTTCTTTTTTCCTAGGTAAGCTAAAGTTGTTCTTTACTTTCTCATGGCTCCAGAAGATTTTTCCCCAAGTGAAGATTCCAGTGTAGAGAATTTAGGTGGGATTATGAGCAGCTGGCCCACCTTTCAGAAGACAGTGGGGGCTAGAGTGAAGAGAGCACAGGCCAAGAAGGGTGGAAAGGGTAGGCTTGACCTGAGCTCCCTCACTTGCTGTATGTCACTTGGGAATGTTCCTTCTGAGCCTGTCGTGTTTGTCTCTGTAAATGGAATGGACATCTGTCTCTCTGGTGGTATTAAATAAGCAAATTTCAGCCCTTAGTAAAAGTTAGTTTCCTTTGTGGTCTGCTATGTAACCATTTTTTTTCCCCTCAATAAACAAGCATGCTTCATTCTCTGTTCTTTGGAGGGGGTACTCCCCAATTTAAAGTCTTCTCTTAATCTGTGTAATGCTAGGCTACTCTGTCTCACTCCTTCCTTCTTGAGAGGGTGACCTGCTCTCAAGACTTTCATTTATCCATCTCTCTTAACCCCTTACCTCCTGCTTTAATCTACTAGTACCCAACTAATCACTTCCTGCAAGGGCATTAATAATTTCCCACTTGCCACAGGCTGGATTTTGCATCAACCACTTTTTCCCACCCTTTCTTTGTCCCTTGATCTCCATGGTTCCTGCCTTTCCCAATTCTCTCTGCCTCTCTACCATCCCTTTTGGTGGCTTTTCTCTTCTCTCCTTTCCCCCCATGTCGGTCTCACCATAGCTGAGAGGTCTTTGAGACTCACTGGGCACCTGTATTGATGTTCCCATGTTTATTCCACACCTGGAGATTTCTAGTGTCCAGGGTGTACTCTCTCTAATGCTCATGACTTTTTCAAATCCTGCTGTTAGTTACATTTTGATGAGGTGATACCATATTATTCTTGCCTAGACCAGGGTTTCTCCGTCTCAGCCCCACTGATGTTTTGAACAGAATCTTTGAGGTGGGGGCTGTCCTGTGCAGTGTAAGATCTTTAGCAGCATCCCTGGTCTCCCCTCACTAGACAGCAGTAGCTCACCTTCTCTCAGTTGTGTTAACCAAAGCTGTCTCCATATATTGCCAGCTGTCCCTTATTAGGGCAAAATTGTTCCCATAATAGAGCCACCAGTCTCAGAAAATATGAAAGGAGCATCACAATCTTTATAAGGTCAGCATGCCTTGAAAAGTTATGGAGAGGATTCAAATGACTTCATCAGTTGAATAACTCTTTGAGAAAGTGTGTATTTTGTCATACTTGGAGGCATAGATATAGAGTCCTTCTGGTTTTGGGAGTGGGCTTCCTGTTCTGGCTTTAGGAGGTCCTTTAAGAAACTGTGGGGTTCTGCAGAGTGACGGCATGTAACATGGTAGCTGTGTGTGACATTCTCTCTTTATTGCCTAGGAGCCAGGAAGAGCTCTCTCCAAGCCCACCTTTGTTGAATCCATCTACACCACAGTCCACAGAGAGTCAGCCTACCACTGGTGAACCAGCCACCCCCAAGAGGCGCAAAGCTGAGCCAGAAGCACTGCAGTCTCTGAGGCGGTCCACACGCCATAGCACCAACTGTGACAGGCTATCTGAGAGTAGCGCTTCACCTCAGCCCAAGCGAAGGCAGCAGGACACATCCTCCAGCATGCCCAAATTATTCCTGCACCTGGAAAAGAGTAAGTTTCATCCTGGGAGTTCCAGGCTGGGGAGAGCTGCCACTTCTTTTGTGCTCAGTCTGGGCCAGGCCACACACTTAAGTTCCCGTGTGTATGGACAGTTTATGTGTTTCCCAGACTATGGTCTGAATTCTATTAGGCCACCTACTTTCCAGAAGGGGAAACCAAGCCATAAAAAGACAAAGTACATGTGGCATAGTGCAACTTTGTGTCCTAAGCTTTCCTTTTTCTCTGCATTCTCTACCACTTCTTGGGAACAAATTGCATTGTTGGAATTCCATGTTTTGTATAATCCTAATGATAATATTCAAAATGAGCAGTTCTAGTGGATTGTTTTGATTTTTTTCTTATCTTAAAAACCTACCTTTAAAAAAATCCTTTTGAGAGCTAGAGTTGTGGCTCAGTGATAGAGCACTTGCCTAGCATGTGTGAGGCACTGGGTTCAATTCTCAGCACCACATGTAAATAAATAAAATAGAAGTCCATTGAAAACTAAAAAGATATTTAAAAAAATCTTTTTGAGGGCTGGGGTTGTGGCTCAGAGCTAGAGTGCTTGCCTAGTATGCGTGAGGCACTGGGTTCTATCCTCAGCACCATGTAAAAATAAAACAAAGGTATTGTGTCCACTCACAACTAAAAAATAAATGTTTAAAAAATCCTTTTGAATAATGTTAAGAAAAATCAGATGCTATGCTTTGTCGGGTTTATTGAGATATAATCCACATACCATACAATTTACCCATTTTAAGTGGTTTTTAGTATATTCAGACTTATTAAATCATCACCAAAATCAGTTCCAAACATTTTTACTACCACATAAAAGATATCCCATATGCATTAGCAGTCACTTCTCATGTGGCCCTCCCCATATCCTTGGCAACTATTAATCTATCTCTATAGATTTTCCTATAGAAAATGACTTCATTTTATATAAATAGAATCATATACTATGTATGTAGGTGATTATTAAGTATTGATTGAAGATTGGGGAGGTTTAGCTGGGAAAAGTAAAAGACAAACCCATTTAAAAAAAATACTAAAACATGAAGGGCTAGCTTTTTCTTTTTCTTGGCATTATTTATTTATTTATTTGGGGTGGGTACTGGAGATTGAACTCAGGGACACTCAACCACTGAGCCACATTCCCAACCCTATTTTTGTATTTTATTTAGAGACAGGGTTTCACTGAGTTCTTAGTGCCTCGCTGATTGCTGAGGCTGGCTTTGCACTTGCAATCCTCCTGCCTCAACCTCCCGAGCCGCTGGGGGCATTATTTATTTATTGAGGCAAAATTCACATGTAAGATTAACCATTTTAAAGTAAATGGCTCAGTGATACCATATTTTTTAACAAGTTTATGGAGATAAACCCTGTATACCCCACAATTCACCCATTTGAAGTATACAGTTCAGTGGTTTTTAGTTTCATAGAGTTGTGCACCCATCTGAATCCAAAACATTTTTAGCACCCTCAAAAGAAACCCTGTACCCATTAGCATTCACTCCCCATTCCCTCCTTTTGCAAGCTCCTTGCAACCCTAGTCTACTTTCTCTCTATGGATTTGCTTGTCCTGTAACTTTCATGGACATGGAATCATATGATATGTGGCCCTTTGTGATGGGTTCCTTTCTCTTAGCATGTTTTCAAGATTTTTCCACACTTTAGCATGTATTATTTCTTTATTCCTTTTTTTAACTAAATAATTTTCTACTGCTATCTTTTATAAGAGAAAAGCCTTATTGTTCTAGAGAACTGACTAGATTTTTGTTCTGCTGTTTATAAGTCTTAATGATATTCTTTAATTCAATTCCTGTGTAACTTATAAGCAACTATCTTTTTCTTTTGAAGAGACACCAGTTCATAGCAGATCATCTTCCCCCATTCCTCTAACTCCTAGTAAGGAAGGGAGTGCTGTGTTTGCTGGCTTTGAAGGGAGAAGAACTAATGAAATAAATGAGGTAAAGAATTAGTATTTGATGTTTATCTCCAGTGATTCTTTCACCATTTGTGGATGTTTGAATCCTAGGGTCCTGAAGCATTTTGCTGCTATTACTGTAAATATTAACAAAAGTGTTTGCAGAATTATTCTTAACAGTGTGCTTTTGGTTTCAAAATAGAGAATATTGTTAGGATTCCAACCCTAAAAGATATCATCTTTTATGTTAGATAAGTACAATTATTGAAACACTAATATTTTCATTCTGTAGAATAGGCATCAGCATACTTTTTGTGGTACGGGCCAGAAAGTAAATCTTCTAGGCTTTGTGGACCACATGGTGTCTGTTAAAACTAGCCAGGTCCAAAAATAGCCACAGGCAACATGTAAATAGAATGGATGCTCTCTGTTCCAGTAAAACTTTATTTATGAACACTGAAAATGGAATAGCATATGATTTTCATATGCTACAAAGTATTGTCCTTTTGTATCTTTTCAATCATTTAAAAATATGGAGTTCATTTTTAGCTTATGGGCAATATAGAAGCTGGCAGAATGTTTGGCCAGATGTAAGCAGCACATTGTCATTTGCTGACCCCTACATCTGAATTTCCTACATTATCAACAGTAATACTAATATTCATCCATTTGAAAGCATGTTGTATGCCAACATTGTGACAGATAATTGAACCTATTACCTTAAATTCCTGAAAACAGCCCTTGCTACCACATATCATTTGATATATGAAAAATTTTCTTTTTGAAACCTTTTTTTTAGTGTCACTTAGGAGATGTAGCTAGTAAGCATTTCAAGGGTTCAGAAGAAGTCTTAGTTCTTGGGATATCCCTTGACTCTCCCTTAGGTTGGGATTTCCTTATTTCTTTGGGGTAGATAGGTTTGCTCAGAGGAACATGGCTTTAGTAGTCAAAGTGCATCTGATGCTGGAAACTGAGGCCAGTAAACTACCTCTGTAAAGAGTTAGACTGTAAATATTTTCAGGGTTGAGAACAGTATGTTCTTCTTTGACACTATGAACTCTGCTGTTACAGTGTGAAAGCAAGAGATGATAAATAAACAAATGAGTGTAGCTTGTGCCCCCCAAATTCATTCATTCATAGATGCTGGAAGTATACATTTGATTTTTTTTTTTTTTTTTTGGTACATAAGCCTTGGACTAGATTTAACATGGGCTATAGCTGGCTGACCCTGATGTACCCTTATTTATGTTATGGTAATTGTTGAGGATAGATTAATGAATTACTATTATAAGCATTCTCCAACACATTTTTTTCAGACAAGGAGGCACTGCAGATTTTATTATTTAAAGGAAAACAGCATTTCTTTTAAAGGGCATCTAATATTTAGACAAGGACCATCATTCCCACTGTGGTCAGCTGTGCAATTCTGCCATCTAGTGGTCACAGATACAGCTACAGGCCATAGAAAAGAAGGATGATTTCTGGTAAATGAACTAAAGAGACCTTAGTGAATTCCCACCTCCTTAAGTGCCTCCACCATGGTATTTTAACTAGATTCCTAATGTCCTATTGCTCACTTTTCTCCAAAGTTTACATGTTGCAAAAGCCAAAGTGGTAACTCAGTAGAATAGGCTCGGGATGTCTGGTTTGCTGATGTATTTCCAAGGAAATTCATCAGAGTGTTTTGAAATACACCTCTTACTTTAACAAAAGCCGTAAGTTCTGAAATTCACAGTAAAGGCAAGGAAACCATTTACCAGGTTGGAAGCGTATTTCTGGTTGATTCGAGGGGTTTGGAGATTCAAATTAGATTCCATAGTGAACTCAACTGCAAGAAATTAAGGAATTTTTAAACAATGGAAATATTGCTCAACACATGTTTTTAGTTTGTTTTTAAATGCTTCATTCTTTAACATTGTAAGACTTCCAATAAAGAAAAAAAAGAACCAAGTGACCAAAACAGTTACAGTTAGTAATAACTATTGAGAATTAAGAATGTTTCTTTAAATTTAAGTCATTATGTCCTGCAATTTTGTTTATTTTTGTATAGCTCTGTTTGTTTTGATGTAGTTGTATTTTTCCCTCTATATACAATTAACCATCACAAGATATATGTGATTAGAAGTGTCTCCATTAGGAATAGTGAAAGCCTTAAACTCATGCTTTTTCCAGGTCCTCTCCTGGAAGCTTGTGCCTGACAATTACCCACCTGGTGACCAGCCACCACCACCCTCTTATATTTATGGGGCACAACATTTGTTGCGATTATTTGGTAAGATCTTGGTTTCTGCTCTCTTATTCCATTTTTCATTTAGCTTTGTTTTTAACACTTATTAATTCATGTCATTTTGTGGTTTGGGTTGCAAATATCTGACTAATGTGGATACTTACTTTCCATTTGGGGTTCTAAAAAATCATCCAAAGGTGACCTCTTCAAAGGAAAAGTATTAAATAAAGCTTAAATTTCACAAAAGTTGTACTTTTGTATTGGTACCACTGTTCTAACTTTGTTCAATAAGAGGTTTTGTTTGATAATATACATGTTAATTTCAGTTCCTAAAAGGAAAAAGAGAGATCCAGATGACCCCTGAGTGTTTCCTACACATTTATAAATTCTTCTAATTGTAAATATTTGGCCCTTTTTTTTTAATGCAGTAAAACTTCCAGAAATCCTTGGAAAGATGTCCTTTTCTGAGAAGAATCTGAAGGCTTTACTGAAGCACTTTGATCTCTTTCTGAGGTATTTTTATTACTCTCTCAAAACTTACCTCTACTGCTGTATATGGGACTTATTTAAGCTTCTCTTCAGCACTTGTGGAAGGCAGCAGTGTATGGTTTAAATAGTAGCAGTGTTACTTAAGTGATGTGAGTTCTAACCAAAATGGTAATACACAAAGTGATTGAGATTGACAATAATTGACATTTTTTATTCAGGACTGTTCTTTGTTATATTAGCATCTATGGGTTTGATTTTGGCATTTAATTTAAAGTTGAGATAAATAATCCCTAGTCTGTGCCAGTATTCCTAAATTCTATCATTGCCTTATCTAATACGACTGTTTGACCTGAGGATCTGCCTCCTATCTTCATCCCCCAGACTGTGACCCAGCTTCATTGTCCCCCTCTCCCATTCAGATGTCCTTACCTTGGTCTTTGGGGCTAGCCTTCACCCTGTCTCACCTTGCTCAACCTTGCTACCTGACTTTCTTTCTTTCTTCTCTTTAAGGATACCTCCTTCTAGGCAGGCCCCACACTAATTTAGGATTTGCTAGAGTAAAGAGTGCCCCACCTACAGAAATCAGTCTCATGGTTTAAAAAGATACTTATCTTTAGGAATTAGGAATAAAGTATCCTGAGAGGAATTAGACTTTAAAACATTTTATTGGAAAGAAGTTTCAAAAATACCTTCTTCCCTCCCAACATCCCCCTCAAACAAATCCATAAATCTATGTGACATAAAACACTGAAATCAAATGCCAAGAAAATATGAAGAGACTGCTACAGCTTATTGTATGGAAGCCTTCTAGTTTGAAGTATTCACCATACAAAATAAAACATAGGACTTTCGCTGGGCACAGTGGCACATGCCTATAATCGCAGTAATTTGGAAGCCTGAGGCAGGAGGATTCCAAGTTTGAGGCCAGCCTCAGCAACTTAGAGAGGTCCTAAGCAAATTAGTGAGACAGTGTCTCATAATAAATAATAAAAGAGCTTGGAATGTGGTTAATCGCCCCTGGGTTCAATCCCCAGTACCAAAAATAAATAAATAAATAAAGATAGGAGTTTAGAAAATAACTTGGGAGGATTTACAAATAAATATAGATGAAGGTTTTAAAAATGTATCTGAAGATATCAGTTAAAATCAGTGGACTTCAGTAATGACTGCAAAAAGTGTGCAATCATAGAAGAAAAAAGACCTGGCTGTCAAATGAATTTTGACTCCGTTTTTACTAAAAAAAGGTGTTGCATATTTTTAGAGATTTAAACATGTAGGAGCTTACTAGTGAGTATTTTGCATACTTAAGAGTACTTTAACCCTTTATGGAAAATCAATTGAAGTTTGAGTCAACATATTATCTATATGTCGCAGATTCTTGAATGACTGGCCACATTTTAACATCCATCTTCAGATAGTTTTAGGTCAGTCTTTTATGGGTTTTGATATTGCAATTGGAACTGTGATACCTTTTGGCGTGGCAACTTAGGACACAAAATACAAAATTAGTTATTCAGATCAGTTTTCAAATAACTTCATTCATATACACAATGTGAATTTCTTAAGTGACATTGATTTCATAATTTGTTCTTTTTTATAGTTTGAAAAATAGGAAAATATTCTCCAAGGCAGTCTGATTATACAAACACTTATGTAAAGTGTTTGTATAATCAGACTGCCACCTAGTGGAGTTTAGATTTTAATTTAGGTACTTTTACACCCAGTGATGGTAAAAGGCTTCAGAAAAATAGTAATTCACATAGAAGCCAGATAAATGTGATGAAAGCAATCATTATGTAGAAATGAAGATGGTAACAGTTTTTTTTCCTAATATCAAAGAAGTTGAAATATTAAAGTGCATTGAAAGTTAATATTGTGTTTACTGATTCTCATTGAGATAATTTTTTTTTCCTTTTTCCAGGTTTTTAGCAGAATACCATGATGACTTCTTCCCAGAATCTGCTTATGTTGCTGCCTGTGAGGCACACTACAGCACCAAGAACCCCAGGGCAATTTATTAAAGTTTTAATGGTTCTATAAGAACAGTTGCTCTGTCTGTCTGGCTTTGTATTCTGGGTTCCAGGTTAAGAACTGATGAGGTACTCAGCTTTCTTTACAGAGAGCACAAACACTGGGCCCACCCTGGAGGGCTCTGTGAGAGGCAGGCTCTGTTATTTGAGTTGCCCACATACTGTAGTTCTTTGAGTTGTTTGTTATAAATTACTTTCTAGGTGCCTGAACATGCTGTGATGTCACATTTGCTGCTGCACAGGCCATCTGTGATGGCAGGAAAAGAACAGTTGTGTTCATAAAGAAATGTTCATGAAAGCGTACATAGACAGTTGTTTTGGTAGATGTTGCAGTTTGTTGTTAGCAAGAACCACATTGTTTAGTTATTTGTTAGCATTAAACAAAATATTTTTGCAAACTATTTTCATTCTTAAGAGGAGGCTAAGCAACTCTGTTCAACGAATTGTAGTTTGTACTTAGAAAGTGCAAAATAGTCTCAAAAGTACTTTAGAGGGAATTGATATTGACGGCAAAAGAACTTGCAGCTATACATTTGCTTGTAACAGTTCCCTCTCTGTGAAACATTATTTTTGGTTATCTAAATATATCTAAATAATGTGAAAACATTATTTTTGGTTATCTAAATAAAGCATTGCCTGTCTTGTTGGAGACTTTACAGCTATACTTTGTTGTGTAATGTTATGGTTCCATTTCTATAAAGTGTTATTTTTGGTGATCTAAATAAAGTGTCGCCTGTTTTGTTTGAAAGAATCAAGAGAGTTTTTGCTCTGGTCTTTTCCTTTTTATTGCATGGCAACAGTGAGCAAACTTCTTTAACTTGTAACTTTTTGATTTTGTTTTGTTTTACTTTTGTGCCTTTCCCCCTTTCCTTCTTTGATTTTCCTTCACTTGGCAGCATGACTAGATGGTGGTTTCTAGAAGTTACAGTGGTTCTGTGCTGTCTTGTTGCTGGACTGTGGATCCATATGGGCTGGCACTAGTTTATCCTACTCCAAAATTTCCAGCAGATGGGCTCTGTAGTCATCCCTCTAATTTTCATTTTAGTCTCTCCCATACTCCCTTACCCCATATGTATAAAAAGTTCTAAATTGGTAGAATGGCATTCCATGCAGGCATTGACTGTCAAAACTCTCTTTTCATGTAGCTCAGCTTAATTGACCTTTACTTACAAAGATCATTGGTCATACACAACAAGGGCCACAAAAGTAATTTTGAATCTATAAATAGTTCCATCAAAGTGATTTGTTCTCTTTGACAAGTGAGAATCAGTACCTCTAAATCAGCAGAGTAGACATCCTCTTATATGCATTTAGTTGTTAAGTAAAATCATAGTTTTTGATGACTAATCTGGAGTAGTATTCAGGTTCATGACAGATTTCATCTCCAGTTGGTTTATGTAATGCCTTCTTAAATCTGGTTCCTACACTGAGATCTGAAGTGCTTTTAAAAGTTTAATCAGTAATATTCAGGGCCTGGAAAAGAAAAGAAAAATATTTTCCCTTATAAGAATATAGTCTTTTAAATGTCCTCAATGAAATGAGCACAAATTGTTATCTCAGAATACTTATATATATGTATACTCATACATATATACTTGCAGTTTTCAATTTAGTAATTTTCTAATAACAAAAAATTATTTTCTTCCCCCTAAGACATTTCTTAATTATAATGCCTCATATAGGTTGAATAGATGCAGTGTAGATAGATTTAAATAATTTTTCTTCAAAATATTCATCATTCTATTGTATGTTACTAATAGTTCAAATCATTCCTTAGATAAAAAAGTATTTAAATGTCTAGATTATCCTTATAAAATTACAAATTACCTTTTCTTTGTTGATTTGTAAGTTATTGCTTTACTGGCAAACCTTGCAATAATTATCACATTGCATCAACATTTTCCTCTAAGTAATCATTTAAAAGTATATTGGACTAAAATGATACTTCGATAACTTCTATATCAGACTAGATTTTTGTTAACAGCATGGGAATTTAAACAAACACCTCAGCACAAATAGTTATATAAATTTCTAAATTTATATTAGTGTAGACCAAAGAAGTCATAAACATTTGTCAGTATTCAAAAGGTGCCACCTGTCATAGTATTATCAACTCTAAGAATTTGAGGAAGTTAATTAATTACCTTGTTTTCCATTATTTTTTTAAGTAATTCAGTAGTATTTGCTGTCAAGATTCAGCTTTTCAAAGGTAAATTAACCTGGACATTTATTGACAATAACTTTATAGCCAAATACTAGTTACTGGAAATATGAGGAAGAATAAAATGTGTTCCTTATTAGGGGACTAGAGTTAAGAATATTTTTATAGGCAAAGACTATAGTCTGTAGTAAATCAAGTTCTATATTAAGGAAGTGTGTTACTTTAACCAGTTCTTAATATACAAAAGTATAAAAATACAAATGTATACTGAGAACAAAGGACAGTGATTAAACATATAATTCCCATTTTTCCAAAGAAGAATGTATAATTCTATTTTGATTGCTTGTCATTTCAGCTAAGTTTGGTCACTGACATATTTCATCAGTGATGGAATCTAGCCAACATGGTGTTAAGTGACTTGATATCCTTCTGGAAAAGGGGTTTTAACAGATTAAATTAAGAGCAGTAATGTGGGGAAATCATGATTGCATTTCAAAGAGAGATGAGACTCCTCAATAAAGCAGTTAAAATTTTTTTAAACAATGTAATTGAAGAGAAACCTTTCTGTTCTGGCTGCTGCTTGTCTTATGCTTGAGCCAAATTCTTCCAAATGTTTGTTCATTTAGACAAATCCTTAGTGCATATTTAAGCTAATTGAATTGTGTTGTTTTTTATATAGTTCTAGTAAAAAAAAAAATAGAAAATGCTCTTATCTTCTTCCTTCTTCCCCAGAATCCATCTCTTAAACTCAAGGGGAATTTATCAAACACCATTTCTTGGATTCAGCTTTTCCTCCAATTGATCTAATAGTGGGACATCTAATCAAAGAATAGAATGCAAGCTCCCCAGTGAATCATCTGCAAGGCCTGGCATGTTCTGCCTAAATAGCCCCACTATTTCTGAACAATGACAAGTGCATCATCTTGGAGGCCACACCAGATCATCTGATGTAGACTGGACATGTTGTGAACATACAACATTCATGGAAAAAAAAAATATATATATATATGTAATCTTTCATCATATGGCAGGGTATACAATCACTATAAATGGACAAATAAGTGAAATAAGCATTCATGTGTGGTCAAACACTGGTGTTGTTGAAAATAATAGGGACCTTTCCTATAGGACAGTGATGCTTATATGTTACTGCACTCTTGCTAGAATATGGGTTTAAACCCGGCAGATCTGGAGTGTGGCTCAGAAGTCTGCACTTTTAAGGAGCTCACAGGGCTGCTGATGCTGCTTATTCTCAGCCTACACCTTGAGTAAGATGGTTATCAGATGTTGGAGGTTAGGATGTATGAAATCAGGGACAGGAAATGAGATTCAGATGTAGATGGCCTTTTATGCACACTTTTTCACATTCTTCCTTTTGTCCTCAGAACAGCTGCATAAGGAAAGTATTATCACTTACATAAATCTAGGAATAAGAATTCACATTGTTAGAAACCAAGGGAAGTTTCAAACTAAGGTCTCTTCTGATTCTAACTCTATTTTCTCCCAATTTATCCAGTTGAGGCAAGGCAATAGGCAAGTTTTATAAATCAGAAGGTAGAGGGAAGGAATGGGGAAAGGAATCGTTTTCTGCAGTCTTTTCACTTTCTCCACTGTCCTCATCCTTCCCACATGCCCCCCAGGATTCTTACTGTTTTAAACCACCATCTGTTTGGCCATTTGCTGGATTCTAGTCTTAAAGGAATAAGCAGTTGTTAGTTGAAGGATTTGTTGTTTTCATAGCTAGATCAAAGTTGGGTAAATTTTTCATGATTCTGAAATCTCAGGGCTGATTCCAAAGAAGAAATTTAACAAGTTCATTCAAGATTCAATTATACTTTTATTAATCACATTTTCAAGAGTTTTATGAATGTTTGGTTTCCTAGAAAATTTAACAAAATATCTCAATTTTGGCATCTAAATCCTTTGTTGCGTGAGGTATAATAAGAGCTGTAAAATGGAATAACTGCTAAATGGACAGGGTTATCATAGCTGCATTCAAAGAGTCCTAGAAAATTGATTTCTCTGTAGCCCAGCAAAAGTAATTCAAGTGACGATCAGGAAATAATTTTCACATATTGGTCTGCTCATACTTAACTGATTTCTATGGAATTAACAAGATTTATATAAATGGACAGAATAGTAGGATCTTGCATTTTTATTATCAAATAATTTTGTCCTTTTTATTAGTCTTACTAAAGTTATCATCTATTCTGAATGCATATTGTTATGGTTTAGATATGGAATGTCCACAAAAGGCTCATGTATTTATAGGTGGGACTTTTAGGAAATAATTGGATCATGAGGGCTCTGATCTCATCAGTGGATTGATTAATCCATTGATAGCTGAAAGGATTACTAGGAGGTGGGACCTCATTGAAAGAAGTAGGTCACAGAGGGTGTGGACTTGGATTGCATTCCTCCCTGCCCCTTTCCCTGCTGCCCCTCCCCCTCTCCTTCCTGGATGCCAAGTACAAAGCAGGTTTCCTCCACTACACCTTTCTACCTTCATGTTCTGCCTCATCACAGGCTCATTGCAATGGAGGTGTCCAACAATGGACTGAACCTCTGAAATCATGAGCCAAAATAAATATTTTCTCCTTTTAGTTGTTTGTATCAGGTATTCGGTCAGAATAATGAAACATGAACTAACACACCAATAAATTTTCTAGTAATTAATAGACCCTATTCCTAAAGTCAAAATTAACACTTAAAAAAGTGATTGTTGTTCTATGTGGTTATAGTTCCATGTATCACTTATTGATGACATTTGAACAAAACCTAAAGGTAGAAAGGGAGAGGAATATGCAAATACTGGGGGAAGCACACTTAGCCAGAGGGAAGAGCCTAGACTAAGACACTGAGGTAAAAGTGTACTTGGAATTTTATGGAGGATTGTTTGGCTGGAGCTTATTTAGGAGGTCAAGAAGTAACAGGTCAAGGGACAAGTGACAGATAATAAAGGGCTGTACATTATCCTGGGATATCACCTTGGAAACTTTGCTAATTAGGTTTGTATTTTCTTAATCTCACTTAACTACAGTGTGGAGGTTGTATTAGTTGAAAGATTGTGGACTCAACAAAAGTACAGACATGGGAATGGGTAAAGGGAGAATATTTTGACTCATATGAGATTGAAGTTGTATCTCAGGAGGGAGGACTGATTGGGAACAATGGTCACCAGAAATAAATGATAAATGCTGATATTGGTTGAGGTCACCTGGGGAAAGAGTATGGATTGAGAAGAAAATAGGAACATCAGGGCTGGGATGGTGATCAGTGGTAGAGCCCTTGATTAGAATGTACAAGGCCCTGGGTCCCATCCCCAGCCCTGAAAAAAAGGAAAACGTAGAGAAATAATATATATATATATTTGAAAAGGACATCAGTTTTCTTATCAATAAACACAAATGTTAAAGTCAGGGATAAAACATATATTTAAAATGCTTATTACAAATAATTTTGGACTTGCTGGGGGTGTAATTCAGAGTCAGCATGTATTTATCATGTGTAATGTTCTAGGTTCAATCTCCAGTACAAAATAACAACAAAAAATTTGGACTTAGATTTCATTTCCAGAAAAACTGTGAGTG